AATAGCTGACCTGTGCTCCAAGCTTCACTCTCACCTGTGTGTGTGTGTGTGTGTGTGTGTGTGTCTCTCTCTCTCTTAAAGAAGAGAAAGTCAATGGGAAAGCCATGGGTCATTCCTCAATGCTTAATAGCTGTTATTTTACAATAATTTTCTAATAAGTTTCTAATTGCTATTGTTTATTTTGAAAGGTATGTCTTCAGTCCAGGTCTTCATGAGATTTATATATCTGTCGTGCAGGTTTGCATATTATGTATATTTTTATATATTAAATAAGGAATTTAGTAATGAATATACAAACCTGCACTACAGATATTTTACTCTGTTTATAGGGTCCATCTGCTCACACCAAGAATGGTAAAGCACAATTTTCCTGGCTGTCTTGTATGCTGCATATACGCATTTTTAACTGTGAGTATATAATATATGAGTATAGTGGAAAATAGATGTTTTAAACTGGGTTATAACCTGAGGTGAACTAAGCAATCTAACTAAAGGAAGGAAGGCAGTTGTTACAGCATCCTTCTTTTTCTTGGGCAGTGAAGAGCGCTTCCTTGACTTGCCATGACTTGCAAAGCACTTAGTAATTTGGTCATTAAATTTTCACACAAAGTTTTTGAAGTATGGAGAGTACATAAATGAATCATCCGGATTTCTCTTGTCTTTAACGTCATTAGCAGAGGTAGACTTTCTTACTGTCTTGTGAATGCCGAACGAAACCTACTGCGGGTCCCATTAAAAGTTAGTTTTCTCCATCAGCCAGGTTGGAGAAGCAGATTCTGCTCCTGCTCTGCCTTGCTTTTCTATTTCTGAAACCTTAGAGGATGAAGTGGAGATGTTTAATAGCTCCCCAAAGGAGACGTCAGACACCCTAGCTCCTGTTAAAAAAAAAAATGCTGTCCGTTTCCTCCTCTCCCAGCGCCCAGCGATATGGGAACAGGTTATGTGGCATGAAGGGCCTTGAGTGTACATGGTGTGATTTGGTCCACAGTGTCCACATCCAGTCGCTGAAGAGCTCTGCAACTATCAAGTTTCCATGGAAACCCCTGGCATCGTGTACCAAAAACAATACAAAAATCTTCTATTTCCTGCATAATTGTTTGTTAAATCCCAAAACTCCATCCTTCTGACTTACTTCTGCGCCTGACTCTTCTCTTGCCACCTGATCTTATTAAAATCTCACTGACTAAATATGCCTATTAGATTACATTTACTTTGTATTACTCTACTTTAGTTTCTCCTCTCTGTGTCGGCTTCTCACTCATAATCATTACACAATGAATGTACTGTATAGTGTGCTTAGTTCTGGAGTGTTGCTAGAACATATTATCCATCTGCACTTGAAGTTTCACTTATCGTTCCTCATGAACATTCAACCATTTTTAGCCCGGTTTTTGACATCCCTGAAGCACTTAAAGAGCCTCATTCAAGGCAGTGTGGTTCCCAATTTGATGATTAGTTGTCCATTAATGTGGGAGTTCACTATACTATACAGTACTGTTCAAATTCTTCGGCAAATGATTTTCATGTTGCTATAAAATTATAATATTCTGCCAAATTGTGTCAGCATATAGCCATTTCAAAACCTCTCCTCAAGTTAGCCACGTATTTGCTGTAACCATCCAATACACGTATGACTAATCGATATCTCCTTCAGTTATTTGACTAATTAAAAGAATCAATTAATTTAGCTGGTGGTAAAATGTAGCTATTCTAGCCATCCAGCAATATATCAGTAACTTTTTGGAGCAAAAAAGAAATTGTTAGTTTTTATTGTACTGCTGTTAATATGCATATGTTGTAATGTTACATTGTGCTTTTTTTGCGAAAATATACAATTTGTATTCAGACAAATAGCTTTTAACATTTTCCTTGCCTGCCTAAGACTTTTGCAGACCTGAATATTGGTGTTGTTTCTTACCAGGAAATACCTCTGTTTGCTAGTATATATCCCACAATGTACATGCCTCTAATGCTAATCTAAATCTGCAGAGAAAAGAAATGTTGTTGCTCCTGTCTCTCTCTCCTTGGCCTCCTGTGTTCACCTGGGCATCTGATGCAAGTGCGATTAATCTCTTTCACGTCTATTTCAACAATTGTTTAGAGATCAGCTTGTTTCTTCAAGATGACAATCAGTGTTGCACTTGTAAAAATCAGCTAGCATTAGTGTAACGCCATTTTTACACTCAGCATTATGATTACCAGAATGCACCGTTGTCACTGAATAAACTTGGCGAAAAGAAACACACAGGTGTTAAAAGTTGGAGGTTAGCGTCCTTTAATTGTGGGATTACGTCCACATCATTACAAAGAGCGGGATGTTTGTTTTCCTGCTAGAGAATTTGGAATACAACCGATTTGTGAAATCAGACTATGTAAGCATCTGTTTGCTGTCATCAGGGATCCCACGTATCGCTCCATGTGCGCTCAGCGGATTAGCATAGGGACTTCTGTCGTGCTGTGTGGTGCTGTGAAACCTGCCCTGTGTTGAAAAGGTATCTTGGTGGTTGTCTGTATCTATAGCAGGAACATGATGCTGAATAAAAGAATACTGGCTGTTGTGGGCCCTGGAATATTCCGGTCGATCTAAATGAATTACATGCACATCTGCGCCCCACCCCCCAAAACATAAAACTATAGTACTATGTGATAATGAAATGTTTCATTCCAGTCACAATAATATTACTGAAACATGAACTTTTGAATGAAGCACCGACATTAATATTACAATGCACAATAAATACATAAACAAAACAAATTTTAAAATACATTAAATATATAAATAAATACTTTGCAGACTTGCCTGAAATGTTTATAGATTTTCACAAATGAATTCAGCAGCACTTGATTGCATGGGCGAAACTCCATGACCGAACCGGCAACTATCGGCTATATGCTAATTATTTTTATGCCATAATCTTTCCACAGTCCAGCTACCGTGACCATGATGGTGTCCGTACTACTGCTTCATAATAAAAGTCACTGGGGGAGAAACATTACATTATTTATATTGCGTGCAGGAATTCATGCAACATTTGCAGGCCAAATGAAGGAGTCATCGCCAATCAACAACCACTGACTACAAGAGGAGGCTCATAAATTTTATTACCGACCTTGACTAAATGGATATGTCATGATCGTCTCCCTCCATATCACCATAAAATAAAAGAAAACATTTAGTTTATAGAATAACTCAACATGGGGGCACCTACTTCAATGTGTTGCTTGGTCTCATGGGTGTTGGTTTCTTATTAATATTGAGCAAGACGACTTATCATAAAAAACAATGTTCTAATTACCATATCCCGCTTAGGTACGGAGCCATTAGCATCTTATTTGCTAGTTTAAAAGCTATTAAAATAAGCTTAAATTCACGCTGTTCTCTAATTTTGTTTTAATTGCCCGGTTAGACGGTTTGCTGAGTTTAGCATTCGTACGTTATAACTTTCGAGAGGTCCTTCTCAACGTAATTGCTCGCAATGACAGCTGATTGAACAGTTTGTGAACATTTATAATTACACTTCAGGATAGTTAATTCCACAATAATCCATTAGCTGGGAATTATAATTCCATTCTTATTTGTCTGTCCTTGCAGTTTTATTATTTTCTGCTTTTACTTACTGTACATTAGATCATCCAATGGGTGTAATTTAATGACAAGGGAAGGTAGAACTATTGCATGCAAATATTGCAATTATTCTTGGTAGTGGGGAAGAACAGACTGGCCACACAATAACCACATTTCCCTTTTAATTACAAGAAAAGTAACACTGAAAATAAAATTCACTATTACAATAAGTTATAGTTACTTGAACTAATATATATATATATATATATATATACATAATATAAATGCTCACAACTAGGGGAGGGTGAGTGGCTCAGCAGGCTGTGTGCCTGTGATCGGAAGGTTGTGGGTACGAGCTCCGGCCTCGGCAGAAGTCACATGTCCGTGAGAACTTGAGCAAGGCCCTTAACCCCCAGCCCCAAGGGTGCTGCATGTTAGCTGAGCCTGTGCTGTGACCCCCAAGCTATGGAGAGCATGATGGGGTCACCAAAGAGAAGCATCCCAATGTACTTGTGCAAATTGCAAATAAAACGCTTGTTTGTTTGACCAAAGCCAGTGCGGATTGTACATCCTTTCACTGGCACAGTTTCTCTTCGTGTTATTCATGTGTTCCCATTGCTTTGCTTGACCTACTCTGGTCTCCTGGTTTCCACCCCAAGGTGTAAGTACCCGTGATACAGGTGGATTGGTGCGTCTGACCTGTTTGTGTGACTGTTTGTGTACCATGGACAGGCAACTCATTCAGTGGTGAACTGTGCCTTGTGTTGTATTTGGAATGTTGAGTTTTGGAAGATGGATGGATGGATGGATGGATACAGAAAGCCAGTGTTGTTGGATTTTAGTCTAGCACTGACATTTAGCAAAGCCTTGCAAGAACTGGACCTACCTGTCAATCACACGCTTTCTGTAAAAGTCAATTTTGGCAGCAGAGCCAGGACTTTGAGACATTTTTGTTTACATCACGCACGTAAGCTTTAACACAGTACATATGCAATGCAGGCAGTCAGGCTGTTTCATTCTTCTCTCAACATGTTAGCTTTCTTCATTAGCACGCCATTCCCCAGCCTTGCTTTTATGTTTATTAAACTCTGACAGTTGAGTCCAACACAATACATACAGTCAAGTATGGAACAATCAACGTTTGTTTCAGAAAAGCACTAAATGAGATACCAGACGTTCTCATCTGGGCAGTTGGCCAGATCCCGTCCTCCGTCACTTTAATAATAAAATTTCCATTTAGCGTGTGGGAGAGGAGGCCGACGAGCAAAATCTCAGAAAGAAACAAATTAGAATAGGAGCCGAACTCCCGACCTCAATCATTCCATCCACTTTGAACAAGTTTCCGAAAAAATAGGCAAGAAAGATAAATCTAATGGAACAGTGAGGTGAAACTCGGCAGTAAATTGAGATACATTCGACGGGCCGTAAAGGGCATGTAGGGCAAACAGTTATAGGCCCCTTTGGACTGCCTGTTGCAAAAATACAGAAACCTTCTAGACACACATGGTGTGACCTTGAGGCTGAGGGGCCACAAGGCCTCTCCCTGGTCGCGAATCATCACGCTGCCATAATGGCAGAAGACAGCACATGGCTCAATGGGCCACATATTTTCCCCCAATTGAAAACGCCTGGATAAATTGACTCAGGAGGGCAGCTTTTGTTGATGAAATGGCGGCGGATGAGGGGACTTCTTCCGGAATCCAGAGTAGCAGAAGACAAGGCGTTCTTAAAAGCCTCATATTAGCACCGATGTGTCTCTTTGACCATGTATATCAACAGACAGGTTTGGTGCCCAGTGATGTGAGTTTGTGAAAAATGTGAGCCACTTAACCTGCAGCGCTTCATTAAATAACCATCTGTATAAACATAGGAAATCTGTCGGTAGCTGCATTCTCTGAACACATAAATTACGTTACAGTTCAGACGTCGAAAGCATTACCCTAAACAGATACCAGCACGAAGTGAAATCAGCGACAAATATGGCTTCTTGAATTTATGTTAAAGGCGGCTTGTTACTAGAGAACGGATTCTGCATATACATCTAGTTTACTTTTCCCCATTACTATATACTCAAGGGTGTAAAATTTGTCATGCGACATAAATTATCCCGGACAGCTGGTTTTACATATTGTAGCGCGGTGTGCCACCGTACGGTGACTCCCATGATGCTCCGGGAACAGAAGCTTCAGGCCTTCATTTGCCATATCAGGCTCTACAGGCTGGCATTTGGACGCGACTTCACCAGGCATGGTGCCACGGCTGGGAAGTGGACCTGAAAACAAAGCATTCAGGTGAGATGATGTGATGGGAGGGGGCCTTTGAACCCAAGATGTGCTGCTGTCGAATCGCAGAGCCTCTGAGGGTTTTCCAGGTGAGTGGGCGGCAACCTTTTTTTCCCAGCATACACTGGCTCCGCCGACTTGTGACACTGTACTCGGTTGCACCCAGTATCATCTTAACTAGCCACAGACCCCATTGAATCTTTTTACACAAAATCACCAGTTCTGTCCAATGAGCTGGGAGGCAAAAATTACGTATTTAATGAAATTGTTAATGAGGTACACATAGTGATGCAGTTAAGACTGGCATTCGCAGAAATTATAGTATAATTAAACAAGAACTGCAAAGTGTCCATTCATAATATTCAGTTTTAGTTTAGGATCTCATGACCCAGTGCTGGATAAACAGTTCGGGAAAATGTATGTAAGAATATTTCCTTGGATTAATTATGCAAATAATTAAATGAAAAGTGCACTACTTGAGGAAAAAAACAAGAGGTAAATGAACTGAAAATGGGATTTTTGAATGATTCCTGGGTTTCAGCCATGAATAACAAATAAAACTGAGGAATATTCTGAGAAATGCAGGAATATCATGCACTATCTGAAGTTGGGCTTTTGTGCGGGTGACCCACCATAGCTGCGCCTGCAGTTTTTTGTCTGCATTTTTTTTCAGCCCAGTTATTTGTGTAGATATTTATCTTTTACCCCAGCAGCATCAGACCCAAACAATAGGCTGAGGTGTCACCCCTGCGGGACTCCACCCCCCCCCCCCCCCCAATTCTTCTCCCCATCGCTCTCCTGTTCCCGGTTCAGCCCATGGAAGAAGACGGATAAAATCCAAGAAATTTAGCGACCGATGCCAATCAAATAACACAAATTGCTGTGTGGCGTGCGGCTCACGTGCCAGCAACGTAGGTGGAGGGGGGGGGGGGGGGGGGGGGGGGGGGGGTGGAGTCCCGCAGGGGTGACACCTCAGCCTATTGTTTGGGTCTGATGCTGCTGGGGTAAAAGATAAATATCTACACAAATAACTGGGCTGAAAAAAAATGCAGACAAAAAACTGCAGGCGCAGCTATCGTGGGTCACCCGCACAAAAGCCCAACTTCAGA